CTAAGTAACTAAGGCACCTGGCTGCTAACCAGAAGGCTGGCGGTTCAAACCCACCAGCTACTCCTCGGAAGGAAGATTGGGCAATCTACTTCTGTAGTGATACCACCTCAGAAACCCAAGGAGGGGTCGCTATGAGTCGGAGTGACTCGACGGCAGTAAGTTTTTTTTTTTTTTTTAGGGAAAATAAACATACTTTTAAAAAATGAACTTTACTTTTTAGAGCAGTTTTTTGTTTACAGAGAATGGTGCAGAAAATAGAGAGTTCCCACCTATCATCTTTCCTTGCTGAACGCTGTGTCTCTTGTTAACATCTTGCCTTGGTGTGGTGGGTATGTTAGAATGTACATGCTTCCTTATACAATTTGTGGCTTGTATTTTTGTTACCAGTAGTAATAGTAATGGTTGTAACAGCATTTATTGAGTACTTGCTTTGTTAAGTACTTTAAATTACATGATCTCATTTAATTTTTATAGTGGTTCTGTGAGCTAAATACTATTATTCTCCTTTTGCAGATGAAAAAACTAAGCCAAGGGATGTTAAGTAAATTGCCCAGATCACATAGTTAGAGGCTGTAGATATGGGTTTTGAAGATAACTTGTTTAAATACGAAGTTCTTGCTCTAACTTTAACTCTGCAACTGATTTCACTGAGAGATGTGGCAAATAGAAAAGGGTCCCAAGAAGGGTTAGATGAATACGTGGCTCCATAGTAGACTTCAGGATACCCTCAAAGACTTTCATAAAAATTTCAAATAAGCACAGTTACTTCCCTTTAGTAACAAATAACATATTTTATAGCTACCTTAGTTTGTATAAAGGAGCTCTGGTGGTGCAATGTTAAAGCATTTGGCATCTAACCCAAAGGCTGATGATTCTAATCTACCAGCCACTCTGTGGGAGAAAGATGAAGAAGCAGTCTGCTTCCGTAAAGATCTACAGCCTTGGAAACCCTATGGGATAGCTTTACTCTGTCCTGTAGGGCAACTGTTGAGTCAAAATTGACTTGATGGCAGTGTTTTTTTTTTTTTAGTTTTGCTATGGCAAGAGGCCATAACATGGTATAAAAATAAGGTACTAATCACCCCCCCCCCCAAATGTGATGTACATGTTTGTGATGTGGATTATTCAGTGCCATTTTGGTTTTGACTTACAGCTTGTACATGCAGTGGCCATGCAAATATTTGTCATATGCACACAGGAAAATGTTTCTGCACAACTAAAGGAATAAAAGGGGATCAATGCCAATTGTAAGTAAAAATAACTTCTTAGAAATTTTGTGAATTGCGTTTGTGCTGTAGAAGTAATTGTTACAGTTTTTACTTATTTAAGCCTCATGTTGTGCTAGTGAAGCAATTGATGTTATCAGCTATTTTTACTTGCATGTTATCGATTCCTTTCAGAGTTAAAACTTCTAATATGACAGTTTTATAGAGTTTTTAAAACAGATCCCATAGAATACATTTTTGTCTTGTTATATTTCTAAAAAAAAAAAAAGCATTCTTATTTTTTCCTGGAAGACACATGCATTGTTATCTTCCTAATTTTTCTTCAAACCTTCTTAAATAACCCTAATAGAATGTTTTGGTGTCTTTTTTTCTTTAGAGTCTTTCCTGATTAATTCTGATCATTGTCCTTTAACTCTCTCACCTGGTTCCTTCTGTACATCTTCAGCTGGGTGCTGCACCAACTCTTCTTCCAGTATATACAGACTCTATTTGTTACTTTGCTATTAATCCTGTTATAAGTGGTTTTTGTCATTTTTATTATGTAGCTATTATTCTCAATATTGATTCCTCCCAAAAAGTTAACTTTATAAAACAATCACTTGAGACCAAATTGTAGTTCTTTCTTTTTGTTATTCACATACATCAGATATCATTACAATTAAGTTTTTATGGGTTTGAATTAGAGATGTGCAAGCACTTATGTACTATATTTAACTCATACAATAAAGTCCAGTGATAATAAGTCTAAACTCAAAAACTCACTGCCGTCGAGTCAGATCCTACTTCTAGTGACCCCTCCTTGAGTTTCTGAGGTGGTATCACTATGGAAGTAGATTGCCCAACCTTCCTTCCCAGGAGTGGCTGGTGGGTTTGAACTGCCAGCCTTCTGGATAGCAGTCAGATGCCCTAGCCACTATGCTTACCAGAGCTAAAAGATGCTTCAAAACTATACATAAATGTAAAAATTTATGTCCAAAAATGTCTATCAACTGTGGAATGTGGTCCTTCAGTTTTTTTTTTTTTTTTAAAAAAAAACAAGTATGTTGTTTGCTGTAGAACTTTCCTAAACATTTCAAGTTAAAGGACCGTGATTTTGACTAGCCACTGAGGTTTTTAAGGTTAGAGAACATGAACAGAAGTAATTCTTAGTTCATTTCTCCATATTCTTTAAACTTAAAAATGAGGTCAAAACAAAATTTTAAGGGAATTTAAGGAAGCATGAAACTGAGGGGACTACTAAGTAAATGTTTGATAAATTTATTTAAGAATGTGCTGAAGGAGTACTGAGAAAGGAGTGATTGCACTTTTTTTGGAGGAATAAGGACCATCAACTGCTCATATGCAAGTTCACCTTGAAGTTAAAGACAATTAAAACAAATCCAAGAGAGCCAAAATATGATCTTGAATATATCCCTCCTGAATTTAGAGATCATCTAAAGAATAGATTTGATGCATTGAACAC